AAATTCAAAACAAACCCATAATTGGGCACATTTAATTCTTTACATGCTTGGCTAGCATATAAAGAGTCAAATGTGCTCAATTATGGGTTTGTTTTGAATTTTAATCTGATGATGGCGCTGTTGTCTCGCCGAAACGTAATGAAATAAACGATATTCAAAATGTTTACTTCACACTTTGACTGAGACCCAGGAAATATAAGAATATAGTACATAACTTAACACATTTTGACGTTGCTTTCCTCACAGTTCGTTTGCACTACTTAATCTGCGGATCTACACCGAGCTAAGTGTTTAAAGCAGATCAGAAACCATTGTAAATCTAACTTTAACCCTCGGATTATATGCTGATAATCGGGATTAAAGGCTGATTCAGATAGCAATAGAAAAGCATAGGTGGCATAAATGATGCAAACGGGTTATAAATTTTAGCTCATTTCAGAGACAGGGAACGTTTTATCGTATACTGTCCTTCAATAAGTTAGCGTCCGCCATCCAATTAACCATTTTCCAGTTGCTTATTAATACCCACTGAAATCTGCTTAGGAAAATGTGCTCAATTGCGAATAATTCCAATTAACAGACTAACATTTCACTCTTCAGCAAAATGCTGATGGATCGCAGAGTAAATCCTGTAAAAAGCGTCATAAGCGTCCGGGAGTTCAAAACTCGTATATCCCATCAACATAAAACGGGAATGTTGTACGCTTTGCAGGAATGTGCGGAACTTGTAATACCGCAGGTGGTTTTTATGATCAACAAAGCTCAGAGCCGAGTGCAATAATCATTTACGGCCAGATAACGGAGTTTCCTATTAAAGTTTCTACTAGCGTCAAAAGCAAACATTAATTCAATTTTCCTTTCATGTTACAGAGTAGATTTTTCAGTCTGCCTCTTCAGTTGCTTGTCTAATAGCTGAGAAGCACTTTGGCGATATTAGGCAAAATATATGTTTTAGCGCAAAAAGCCTAAAATAGGTAACATGTTTTCATTTTATTTTGTCGGTTGGTATCGCTTGCTTACACCCTCGTTACTAAAACTTAATAGACCTGCAAAATGACTGTACCGATAATTATCTGATTAAACTATATGGGAGTTTGACCCATTGGCCGGACTTTCTTCTTTCTTCGGCGAAAAATCTTTCAAAATTATTAGCAAAAAAACTGCTCCGCAAATTTTTCATTAATATTTTTCGTGTCCACCGCAGGTGATTCTTCCTTATTAACACCACGAAATAATCAGTAGCTTTATTGCTAAAATTTTTTATAAACCCCTTTTCCTTAATCCCCAAGTGAGCCTTTGTAACCCTTTAAAACTGTCTGCCCTACAAAAAATAACGAAACGTGACTAAAGTTTTGCTTTGTAGAGCAGTTTAAAATTTTTAATTTATTTTTTAATATTATGTAATCACAAAAGAACAATTTCCTAAGCGGCATTATTATGCTAATACTTCAGGGCAAAAATATGTTCCAAATGTTTTCAACTGCGTCATTTTAGCGGACAGTGAACTGAAGCAAGCGGACGCTCATCCTTCATAGCAAATCCTTTTAGCCCAACGGGAGAATTAAACGCACCAAATAGAGTTCAGATTTAATTCGCAAACTTCATGCTACAGAAATTGGTAAATTGTGGAGGATTTTAGGATGGTTGCATTCGTTTCTTGACGCTACTTTAAGCTAAATGATCATTTTAAAAAATTATCGGAATATCTCCTGTTAAGTTCGGAGGAACATCACTAACCACCATGTTCCGGTTCTATTTGCTCTAATGAACAGTATGTTTTCCCTCGTCTATAACACCCGCCCCGTTACCAGAACTTTGTCGCTCAGTCGCCCAGTAATTAACCCTAATCTGGTTGACCCTATCTTAGAGAAAATGGAATTCGGGCCCGTATTAATCAAGTGTTTCCGCTCGATTTGCAGGTGAATATTAGCAATACGTGGATGTTGCCTGAGGAGGGATTTCCAGTATTCTACCGCTATTTCCGGGATCGCATTTCATGGTACGAAGCAGACGCCGTATGCCAATTTCATCATGCCAACTTAGTTACTGGTGAGTAAACGATGTCATTAAGTTAACGATTTCCCGAATACGTCTGAAGCTTTATTATGTGAAGCATTCACAGTTGCTAGAACTATAACGTGACACTGTTCATGGTGTCCCTAATTAAGATCTCTTGAGACGTGCTCTGGATGCAATCAATCCATCAATCAATAATGCGCAAACTGTTAGTTCTGTGAATGTAATCGCGTAATTGGGTGCGAGAGGTAAGTCCATAAAAAAGACGTTCCTTCCAGCTCTTTTGCAAGCTACAGTTTGCAGTTATTTAGTGAAGCAAAAATGCTCTTCTGCTCTCAAAATTTAGTGCCCGATTCACTAAATCCGGTTCCAAATGGTTCGTGGAACAAGGGTAGGGTTTTTGAAGATTCATCTTCGAGACGGTTATTTTTCACATTGTTCTGATTGCTGCTTGTCGAGAAGAATCACACTCCATGTTAAAGAATTAATGCTTCTGAAAGGTTGGAAAAATTAGATTTTTCGGCTTGCCTTCGATACTTTCAAATGCCTTCCTCTCGGTGATGATCTTTCCAAAAACAAAAATTATCGCATATCGTTTATTTCATTACGTTTCGGCGA